TAAAAAAGCATAAAATATATAAACTTCTAGGTAGGCTTATTAAGAATAAAAGGGAGAAAGCTCAAATAAGGATCAGAAACTGTTGAGATTCAGAGGAAGAAAAGAGAGTACTGTGAATTTTTATATGCCAACAATGTCAAAAACCTAGAATAGATGGGAATTTTTGTGAAATTATGCAATCTTCTGAAATTAAATAAGAAAGAAATAGAAACCTATACAGACGAATCAAAAGCAAGGTAACTGAAACAGTAATCAAAACTGTACCAAAAAATAAAAACCCAGAACCAGATGGTTTCACAAATGAGTTCTATCAAGCCTTCAAAGCTAAACTAAAGACTATCTTCCTAATATTCTTCCAGAAAATTGAGAGGAGGAATACTTCCAAACACATTTTATGAGGATAGAATTAGTCTAATACCAAAACCAAAGACAACACACACACACAAAAAAAAAAAAAAAAAAAAAAAAAAAAACTAGAGACCAACTTCTCTAATAAACACAGATGCAGATATCCTCAATGAAATGTTAGTGAATGAAATCCAACAGTGCATGAAAGGGACTGTGTACCCTAACCAAGTGGGATACCAGGGACAAAAGGATGCGTCAACATCTAAAAATCAATCAATATAGTTCAGCACATTAATGCCAAAAAAGCATTTGATAAGTATGGTGAAAACTCTTGAAGAACAAGATAAATGGAAACTCCATTAACATAGTAAAAGCCATATGAAAATCCTACAGCTAATATTATTCTAAATGGTGACAAAATGAAAGCTTTTCCATAAGGTCTGTACAAGATAAGGATGCCCATTTTCATCACTACTACTCAAGATAGTAGTCTTAACCAGAACAAATAGACAAGAGAAAGAAATACAAGGAATCCAAGTTGGGAAAGAAGAAGAAAGTTAATTATTTGCAGATAGCATGATAGTGTATATATGGAGCACTAAAGATTCCACTAAAATAACCAAATTGAAACAATAAGCCAAATTGGCAGAATATAAAATCAATATACAAATAACAGTTATCTTCCTCTGTGCAAACAATGAGCTAAACAGGAAGAAATTAAGAAAATGACCCCACTGCCAATCTCACCAAGAAATAAATAACTAATTAGTAGTAAGCCTAATGAAGGAGGTGAAGGACTTGTGCAAAGAAAACTTGGTAAGGCATTGTTAACAGAAGTAGAAGCAGCACAAAGAAATGGAAAGAAATTCCTTGCATATAGATTGGAAGAATCACCATTTTCAAAATTGCTCCTTACACAAAAAGCAATATACATATTCCAAACAATGTCAATAACAAACTCAATGACTTTCTTCAAAGAAGTTGAACAAACATTACTGAAATTCAACAGGCCATAATATCCCAAATAGTCCTGTCAAAAAAAGAGGAAGACTGATGGCTATTACCCTTCAGATTTCAAACTGTACCATAAAGCTTTAGTAATTAAAGCAGCATAGTTATGGAACAAAGCAGACACACAGACCAGTGAAATGGAAGTGAGACCTCAGAAATAAACTTACATGGATTCACCTATTGGAATAAAGAAGCCAAAATTTCACACTGGAACAAGGAAAGACTTCAATAAATGGTATTGGGAAAACTAAACAGCCATATGCAAAAGAATCACCATTGTCAAAATTGCCACCCTACACAAAAAGCAATACACAGATTCAAAAAAAATGTCAATAGAAATCTCAAATACACTCTTCAAAGAAATTGAACAAACATTACTGAAATTCATAAAGCATTTAGTAATGTAGAAAGAAGACCACTGAGCTCTCCCTGGTGGCGCATTGGGTTAGGACGGAGCATTGCAAACTAGTTGCAGCGGCTTCAGTGCGAGTTCAATCCCCAAACCCAGGGGTGAACCACATGCCACAGCAGACCTCTCCTGACATGCTCGCTGCTCTCCTCAGCACTGTACTTCATCTATCTGCTTGTTCTGTTCCTCACTCTGTCTCTGGTGAATCCTCTCACCACCCCCTGCACCTCTGACTCAAACCCCAGTTCTCTATGCATAAATAAATAAATCTTAAAAAAAAAAAAAAAGGAAAGTAGACCACTATCTCACAACATACTCGAAATCAGCTCAAAATAAATAAAAAAACTTGGATTTAAGACCTGAAACCATAAAATGCATAGAGAAAAACATAGGCAAAATACTTTATGACATAAGCTTCAGTGTTGTCTTTCAGATTCATCTCCAGCAGCAAGGAAAACAAAAAAAGAACAAACAGACTACATAAAACTAAAATCTTCTGCACAGGGAACAAAACTTTAGCTAAAATGAAGAGACACATTATTGAGTAGAGGAAATTTGTGCAAGCCATACATCTGACAAGGGACTGATATACAAAGATATCTACAAAAAATAAATAACACAATCAAAATATGGGCAGAAGTGCTAAAAGACACCTTTTTTTTTTTTCAAAGAAATTGTAAAGCAGGCACCTGAAAAAATGTTCATCATCGGGCCCTCCCTGGTGGCACAGCAGATTGAAGTGCCTCACTAAGAAGCTAAAGCCACTTCCACATGAGTTCGATCCCCGCCTGCTCCAGAGGTGATACACATGGTGTGCCAGTCATTTCCTGATCTGCCCACTGCTCCCCTCAGCAGTGAACTTGTCAGTCGGCCTGTTCTGCTCCCCACTCTGTCTCTGGTGAATCCACTCACTGTCCCTGCACCTCTGGCCTGTACCCCAGTTCTGTATGCATAAATAAATAAATCTTAAAAAAACATGTTCATCATCATTTATCAGGAAAAGGCAAATCAAAATCACAGTGAGCTCCCACTCATATCTGTGAGAATGGTCCATATCAAAAAGACCAGAAACGAATGCTGGTTACGGTGTGGAGATAATGTAGAAGGCTACAGTCTCTAGGGAAAGGAATTTCTCAAAATATTAAATGTGGACCTGCCATATAACCCAGATAGATATTCAACTCCTAGATATTTTCTTGAAGAATATGACAATACTAATTCAAAAGGAAACTTGTTCTCCTTTGTTTATTCCAACAGTATAGAATACCAAGCTATGGAAACACAACCTAAGTGCCCCCAAACAGATGAATGGGTCAAGAAAATGTATTGAACACAATGGAATATTATTCAGCAGTCAAAAGGATAAATCCATGACATTCATGAAAACACAGTTGGAGCTGGAAAGGATTATGATAAGCAAAACAAACCAGAAAGGAGAAAGATAAATATCAAATAATCTTTCTTAATGTGGAATATAGAGAAACCAAACAAAGGGTCAAAGATAAACTGTAAAACCAACCCTTGAGGGCTGACATTAGAACTCAAGTATCCAAAAGGGAAGATAGAGAGGAACAAACAGGGCAAGGAGAGAGCACAATGGACTGGTGGAGGGCTATCATATTTTTGGCAATGTGTACGCTATGGCCACTTCACCTGATGGGGGAGATCCCATTCTTTAGAAACACTAGTACTGAAGTAACTGATGCATGGAGTTCTGTAGGTGGAGGCTCACTCTTCTGCAGATTTAAGCCAGTTCCTTCAGGATTACCTATATCAGTGACAGCTTTGGCCTCTCCCTTCTCCCCTCCGAAAAAAAAAATAGCCATAACCAATAGACCATTATAGCAAAGTCTCTAGCTATTAAAAAATAAATAAAACAACTATCAGAAAGCAATTCAGTTTTCCTAAATATATTCACAAGTCACATCCAATTATGGACTAAAACCACGTTTTAAAAAAATCTATTTTTGGTTTTCTTTTCATAGTTTACTGAACAAAATTTCTATTAAGTATTCTGATGATTTTCAATGTGGGTGAACAGAAGTGACCCAGGAGCCCTTTCCATCCTGGTGCATCCATTTATTGCACTACAAGTTAAAAATTCAGTTTCTTATCAATCAGGTCTCCATGCTTTATGGGTTGTGTTATAATAACTCCTAGTAACAGTACAATGAACTCTAGTAACCCAAAGTTTTTATAGCAGATGACTTCACTAGGGCTTGTCTAGACAATAGGTCTGTCAAATCATAGCATGTTAGAGCTAGAAGATATCTAACAAAGATACTGGTATTTAGTTCCTAAATGTTCTGTTTGCTATTGTAACAATAATATGGGGATTTGAGAGGTGGGGACACTATGACTTTAACTTGGAAAGTGGAAAATTACAGGCATGTGGGAAGAACCTAACTATGCATTTGGGTATGAGTTATAAACAAACATAAGTTATTCAGGTACAGCAGCAAATTTGAGAATTTGTTTCCTGTTCAAAATATGAGAGTTTGTGGAGCTTACACATAGAGAAAGTAATTGTAGCAGATAAAATCATAACTTCTTAGATCTACTCTCCTTGCCAAAGTAATCAAGCTTTAAAAAAAATTAATTCCAACCTTTGCTGGTGAAATCCACATGCTATCAACAGTTCATTACTGGGACTTAGATTGGATTTGCCTTGGTCCTTAACCTTCAGCCACTTTAGTCAAATCAACAAAATAATTGGTCATATTGAAAAAAAGGTTTGACCAACAAACGTTTACACTGGTTGTTTTGCTGGCCTGACCATTGATGTATAACTGTTTAGTGTAGAGGTTTAATTCACCCTTCAGCTTTACAGGCCTGTAAATAGCAAAGACCAGAATCTACCTACAAGTCCAGAGTTGTCGTTTATTTTGATTGAATACACTTTGTCTGGGGATCAAGGATAAAAATAGCCTGTCTTTGAGGAAGTGTCTTCAGAAACATTTGTGTGATTTGGGTATTTAAACAATTAGATGGGTGTGGTAGTCACAAAGTTAGTGCCCTGAGGATAAATGTTAGCTGAACTCATACCTTTGTGAGAAAGTGACTGATGTCTGGAAGACTTTCTTAGGAGAAAGAACACTGAAGACTTTTGACACATGGCAATGAATACAAAGCACTTTGTATATGGTGAAATGTTTTTCTGTGAAGAATTTTTTGCTCCAATGCTTGTGATAAAGTATGAGTAACTCTCGCCTCCTTTGTTATATTCCCATAGGAAGCTGCCCTCTGTAGACAGCTGCCCATGGAAGCTGAGAGTCTGACAGCAGTGCAGGCTGCTGCCAATGCTCCTACCATGACCTCAGACATGAGATCCATCTCTAATAATAGCTCTGATCCTTTCCTCAATGGGTGAGTTAACATTTGGGGGCGCCTATTTTATTCTTTCTTTGTTATGTGCTCTGCAGCACAATAGGTCTTTGTTTATGTTGGAAAAAGAGTATGAGACTAGAAGGAGAAAGTAAAGAGAGATAGCAGAAAAAAGTAAAAGCAGAGGAAGCCACGTACCTTTATTTTAATCATTTCATTCATACATATTTTAGATCATTGTTCATTTTTGTTCAGTGTATGCTTTCTCTTCTCAGGTGTAGTTTCCATAAAATTCCCACCACCAGTTCACCCGTACAGGGTCACCATATCCCTTGTGCTCTCTCCACCCCTGTTTGGATCCCTCTCCTTCCCCCTTTCCTGCAGAATGTCTCTGATTTATAGTTGCCTGATAATTTTGGTCTTTTATTTATTATTATTATATATATTTTTGATCCCTATTTGGTTGCCCTAGATTCCTCCTATAAGTTAAATCACCTGATATTTTTCTTTGTCCTTCTGGCTTATTTCACTACACATTACCTTTTACCACCTTTTAGTTTCCATCCATAGTTGAGGTCCGTTGAGTAGATCTAGGGTAGAAACTAGACCTTTAGTGGTGAACGTAAGGTAGTATATGGAGATGCTGATTTATAACACTATACACTGTGGAGCTTATACCTAGAGAAAGTAATTGTGATAGATAAAATTGTAACTTTTTAGATCTACTTTTCTTGCTAAAGTATTCAAGCTTTAAAAACTTATTTCCACATGCTATCAACAGTTCATATAATGCCATAAACTAATAAGCAGTTATAATGTTATAAACTAATGTTGCTAACATAAAACTTATTTGTAAAATAAAGTGGTGATATGTGAATAATAATTTTAAAATGGGAATGAACTTAGAATTTTAATAGGATGGCAATTTTTAAGAAGAACGTTATGATTTTCTATAGTTAATAAGGAGGTAAAAGCATGTTATATGCCAGTAGGGAAAAAAAGAAATGATTTTTATGATAAAATGGAATAAGGTTAATTAAATAAGTCTAATGTAATCACTTTATACAATTTCCTGGTTTTTGATAACTGTCCTGTAGCTGTGTAAGATGTTCTGGGGAGACTGCAGAAATGTGCGTCCCTATCCTTTCACATCCTCTGTCGTGAGTCTAAAATTGCTTCACAATAAAAAATAAAACAAAGAGATGAGGTTTTAAAATGTGAAACATCGGAGTAGAAAGAAAAGATAATTTAGCCAAAATTATCTTCATGAATATTATTTGTCAACTTTAATTGTGCTTTTTAAACCCAGATGAAGGGCAGTGCTCTATTTCCTGTGTTTGTTCTCCTCCCCTCCTCCATAGATGCTTCTGACAAATTAGCAAATTTAATTATGGAAGTTATTAAAAATAGAGACAGACAAAAACAAACAGCACTGCAATGAAGGAAAGGGATTTTTAAATTGTTAATGTAAAAGTATTTCAAATTACAGAAAAGTATGAAGATAATGTAAGATTTACCATGTATTCAACACCCAGATTTGCCGTATTTTATCAATCTTATTTTTATAATAATTAAAACACTGTGGTTAATATTTAAACTCATTCCCCACCACTCAAGTAGTTTTCTTTACTTCTTCACTTTCAGAAATCGGTATGTGCCCATTATACATGTTTTCATATTTTTGCCTATTGCTTATTGTTTTCTTTTTTTAAATTTTCTATAAATGGTGTAACATATAGAACATTCTTCAAATTGTTATTTTGAGATAAAAAGGAAGTCAATATCAATTGACTATGAATGCCAGGTTTATTTGCATATCATTTATTAATTTCATTGATATTGGGTGTTTCAAAGTTAAAAGGAGATGCACTGGCCCTTCCATAGCTGAAAAGTTCGACACATTTTCAAGTTTCACTAATTTAGAGTTTTCGTGACTGTATTAAATTTTCATGACTGTATTAATTTTGAAATATCTTTAGTGTCTCACACTGAGGTCTCGCCATGTTTTGTTCTCCAGAGGGCCTTATCACTCAAGGGAACAGAGCACTGACAGTGGCCTGGGCTTGGGGTGTTACAGTGTCCCTACCACCCCGGAGGACTTTCTCAACAATATGGATGAAATGGACACAGGTAGGACAGAATCTGCAAGGATTCGCAGTGTGTTTGCATTTGAAATCGTATCTTTAAGCATCTAACATCTCAAATCCAACCAGAAATGCTTACTTTCAGCAACATAAAATGTGAGTGAGGCCTATGTGAAGCAAGGCAGAACTTAAAACCTTCTGTCCATATATAAAACTTTATTTGTAGAAGCTACCAGGAAGGGCCAGAGTTTATTAAGAAGGCCAGTGGCTGGGTTACCTCTCCCTTTTCTCTTCTGTCAAAAGAACTTTCAATCACAAAACTTAAATTTTATTTTATTGGCCAAATCTAGACTTTATTCTGAAAATCATAAACTCCCAGTAGGTATTCTAGATCCCAAAATAAATGTCAGCAGAGATATCTACTACTGGAGTTAGTCCTGCAAGTTTCTCCTCTGTTATCACTGCAGAGAGGAAATTAGTTGTTCTGTTATGAAAATAGTCGCTTTCCCCTGTGTGTTGACTGTGCTCCTAGATGACTATTCTTTGTGTCTGAAGCCAAGTTATTGCTGAAACCTAAGTCCAATTCAGACAGGGAGCTTAGGAGTGTAGCACATCAGGACATTTGCTTGAAATCTTCCTGCATACATCATTTACATGTTTCATAATTGCACAGAGTGACCAAGAGTCATTGAATCTAAACTTGACATCAAAAGAGAAAAAAAGAACTTTTCAGTTGGATCAACCATTTTCCATTAAGTCACCACAATGACCAACACAATGGGAAAAACAAGAGCGCCCCCCCCCCCCACTATATTTTCTTTAGGCCTTTTAGAAAACATGGAGTTGTTCTTTTGGCCACATACATGTGGATCTACAAGAAAGGAACTATTGTAGCCATCAAGGGAATGGGGCAGTTCAAAATGGAGTGCCCCACAAATGTTACCATGCCAGCAGTTGAATAGTTTGTAACACTACCCAACATGCAATTGGCATTGTTGTCAACAAATAAGAAAGGGCAAGATTCTTGCCAAAATAATTAATGCTCATATTGAGCATATTAAGCACTCTAAGAGCTGAGATAGTTGTGTGAAGTATATGAAAGCAAATTATTAGAAAAACAGGAAGCCAAAGAGAATAGTACTTGGGTTCCACTAAAGCGCCAGCCTGCTCTACCCAGAGAAACAGACTGTGTGAAAAGCAGTGGGAAAGAGCCTGAGCTGCAGGAACCCACCAGTTTACCCACCTGTAAATTCAGGGCATGACAGGTATGAAAAAAGGAAGAAAGGACCGCTGGGTTATAAAAATGTTTTTCAATCAAATAGAAATGTGGTTGGCCCTTTCCAAAAAATGTTTAAAGCAAAAAATAAAAAAAAAAACCTCTATTAAAATGATCTCTAGTATGTAAACAGGGAATGTTTTAAAGCTATAACATGGAATTTAGGATATTCTAAAAAGAACATAGGACATAATCTTTGCTGACGGACAACCTGAGTGAACATTTGCTACCTTTGGTGCGATTTTGGATAGGTGATATAACCAGAGTAGGCCTCAGATTTCTCACGTATAAAATGGGAGTACTGCCATCCTTTCCAGGAGGCATAGGGAATTATGCACCCTAGAGCTTGCTACAGAGTTCCCTTATCCTTCTAAGAGGTTGAAGTACAGAATAGACTTGATAAATGGTAGGGTACCAACTTAGCCTGGTTAATGAGTGTCAGCCCTTTGAGGTGTGGGTCACCTCTGTAAAGATTTTATAGGAAATAGCATCAAATCTTCTCAAGGGAAGAAATATAATTATAATAACAGATGAAGCAAGGAAAATCCAAGTGGATGGAATTCAGGTGTGGCTGGAAAAGGGCTGGTAGACTTGTGGACCAATTGCTGAATGGGTGTGAACTGTCTCTGCCTCTCCCCTTGGCCAAACATACATGGAAGCAGTGGCTGGATTTGAGATGAGGACAGTGTAAAGGAAATAGCAAGAGCAACGGTTGGGAAGTCACCTATCATTCTGGATTATCCTGCAATAACCACACCATTTTAAGAATTGCCTGATTTTGTCTCCTACATTTTAAATACATAAAACTACAAAGACCAGAAAGATTACTGAGATTGCAGGATTGCTCTAAAGAGACATTTTAAGATTGTTAACCTTAACAAAAAGGCTTAATTGGTTTCTGCATGCTTTCCAAGTATGAGAAGGAAGGGCAAGAAGAAAAATTTTTACAGAAAAAAATAGAGTTTTGTTAGGCTAAAAAATGTATTCTGTGTCATTAGAAAGTTAAAATGGAAACTCAATAAAGATGAGTGATTGCAACTGGAAATTTTAAGGCCTCATTTCCATCTGAAGCACTCTAGTGGGTAGGAAAAAAATAACTTTGGACTTCCTCCTCTGTTTTGAGGTCATAGAGGTCATATGGTTGAACCTGACTTATTTTTTCAAATTGCTGTCTTTTGCAACAAAAAATATTATACGTTATTGCCAAAGAGTTGTCAATACCTTTGTAAGTTACAGAAAATCTATTCAGCTTTGCTTTCTCCAAAATCAAAACAGTTTGACTGTATCTCATTGATCACTTGGAAAGATATAATTTCTCTCCTTAGAAAATGCATTTTCTCTAGTTTTTTCAGAATTGTACAATTTCTATGGATGCTTTGTAAGTAGCCTACTTGTGACTAATTTAACAAGTTTCTTAAAAATGATACTGTGATAAAAACTTAAACCTTATCTATCAAAGCTCCCAGTTGTTTGATGTGTATTTCAGTTTTTCAGAAAAATAGCTGGTCTCTTTGAATTACCCTGTTGTTCTAATATTATGTATTAACAATGATTGAGTTCCTAGATTTTTCGTACAGGACAATCAGAAAACATTTATTTATTTGTGTATGTATATAAATTTGTACATATGAACGACACTCATTGCTATGGATGTGTGACAGACATATCGATATCACTCAATTTGTGAAGAAAGTTCTATAATCCCAATTTCCAGATGGGTAAATTGAAGGCCAGAGAAGTTAAGAGGATCTAAGGTCTTAGCAAAAAACAGTTTCATGCATAAAGGTCAATGCAGTTACCGCTGTGCTGTCATTTGTAGAGATCATATGTTCTACATTTAACGTTGTATCTCACACAATAAACTTCCCCTGTAGAACGGCATTTTCTCTGTTATGTTCTGCACACTCCAGTTCTATCGTGGGATAAATTCTGTCCGAGTAGGACCAGGTTATAGTAGCTTAAGTGAAATGAAACAGATGTCTTACTGCAAGAGTTTTCAAACCTTAATGTGCTCGTGTACATTGTGACTCATCTGTATTGTAGGAATGATAGATGTGGACATCTTTCTATGTGGAGGGAGGGGAACATTTTGCAGAAACCATTTTATAACAGACTTCGTAAATGATCTGGAGAGATATCAATGAAGTCAGCTTTTTAAAACATGGTTAACTTGGTTAAGAGCAACTCCTCACGACTATCTTTGAACATATAGAGATATGATGATGGGTAACCAAAGCTTACAGTGAAATGACTAGACTCCAGCTCTGTGTAATGTAAAAGTCAGAGCTTCGGTAGCTTTCACAAAGCAGCTTCTCATGGTTATGTTACGGGAAGGACAGAGCAGAGGTCACAGAGATCCTTGATGCCTTCATGCTTCTTTCCCGTCCTCCTGAACTTATCCATTCTGGATCATATCTACCAAGACCCAGACGGCCTCCCTGAGTCTCTGATGAGTGAACACCACCAATTCAGTACAGTGACATGGTAACTGAAGTCTTGCATAGATGAAACATTTTAGACCTGCAGCAATATAAGCTCTTAAATGTAGACCCAGTGAAATATGAAGCTAGAGTTACATTGACACTTGATCTGTCCTATTCCTTTCAAGAACTTTAAAAACGGTTTCCTTTCATTTTCTTATAGGAGAAAACACAGGACAGACGCCCATGAACATGAATCCCCAGCAGACCCGATTCTCTGATTTTCTTGACTGTCTTCCAGGAACAAACGTTGACCTAGGAACTTTGGAATCTGAAGATCTGATCCCACTTTTCAATGATGTAGAGTCTGCTCTGAACAAAAGTGAACCCTTTCTGACCTGGCTGTAGTCTGTGCCGTTGTAACTGGATGCAGCATGACCTGCCTGACATTTCCTGGGCCTCTTGGAAAATGCGAGGGAGCAGAAGATGTAGGCAGGTGAACCACTCCCTGCCTCATGACTCATGCTCCCTCCTTTCCAGGTGGCCAGCTTACTAAGTGCCTGGATTTGATTGACAGTAACAAGTTAAACACAAATATTTTCTTTACAATTTTGCAAACCCGCATTCCTGCAGTGGGTTTTGCAGAATTGTTTCTGCAGAACTGATAATGCAGAATTGCTTCTGTTCTCTTTTGCTTTTATATGTATCAGTGACATTTACACACATATTGATTATAGACCATAAAAACTGACCACAAGCAGTGACTTCTGACAGGCAGCTTGGTCCAGGAAATGAACACAAAATTAGACCTGATTTGCAGTTTGAAAAACTATGCTGATGACAGTAGTACTAATACTTTTTAAAGTATTTAACTTGAGCTTTAAAAATCATGTATGGATAGTAAGATTCTGCTGTATGTACACAGTACAGTTTGGAATTCATACTGATTCTGATAGTTCTGATGACTGCATTTACATGGGCACACATAGTCCTCTTGTAGTTTATCCTTTGTGATTTCATTACCCAGTGTCTAGGCAACTAGTGTTTCAGCAGGAGAGACATTGCTGCTTTAGTCACCATTCTTGCAATGCAGATTTTCTGAAAGAGACCAGTTTGGTACTAATTATATGCATTTGTAAAACAAAAATTTTTAAAACTGCAAAAGTTGGATCTTTTTAAAATTACAGCTTAGAATTGGGTGTTTATTTTATAGAGCACTAGTAATTTTGTGGATGCCAATGAGCAGCTAACTGCTTTTGGTTAATCAGTAACAATGGTATTTTTGTCTTTCGAAATTATTCAGAAAACATCAGGACAACATAGGTTCCAGCCTGAGGGTGGGGTGGGTGCACCCAGAAATCTGTTGCTTTTTAAACTCTGGAACCTTATGTGTTTTGCTTTCAAAATTTCAAACATTTAAGATAATTTTATCTATGAAACTGTTTTGAAGGATGAAGCAGATCTCTGACTGACGTTAAAAAAAAAAAACAAAAAAAAAAAACAACCTGCCTTCTGAAGGCACACGGTGGAGACATATATTTCTGAAGTCTGATGTCTAAGTATATTATCCTAACTTTGTTTGCTACAGTTAGTATAAGAAGGCATGAAATATATACTCAATACCTCTTATATAACCAAAAACGTTTTATTATTAGCTTTTAAGGACTGAAAGAACACATCCTGTTCACCTGGTGTGCACTCCGACTGCATTGCCTATGAAGTCCTAGCTGTTTAATATTTTGAACTGACATTATTTATAATCTATGAATTTCATATCTGTTTTGAAAGACACTAATGATTCAGGTCTCTTAGAGGAAACTTTTTATTCCCAAGAGGGCTTTTTTGTTGGGGATCTTAAATAAGATTCTTCTCCATCTACCAAACACAAGGGGACAGAATCCATTTTATCTTGTTGGAAAGAAAGTAAGTGAAAAGGTCAGAGATGAAGCAGTAAAGTGAAAGAAACTGGTGGAAAGGATACTAATTGTGAAAGGGAAACAGACTTGTAATAGTATCCCAAAAGCAAGATGAGCAGGAGGTAGGAGAGGTGCCCGGAAAGAACAAAGCAATCATTTTCTCCTACAGCCTCAGCCAAAACTGTTGTCGAGGGAAAGAGGGCCTTAGTGCACTTTAGTGTCCGAAAAGGGAGCAGGGCTGTGACTGCCCTGTTCACGCAGATGCTGAGAATGAGTGTGGACAGGGCCATGAACCTGCTGTTGCTTCCAACACCGTGAAATGATGGCTTTTTCCTCAAGTGAGTCACGTTCCTCCTATTCTTTCTCTAAATCCACTGAGAGAGATGGGGGGTAGGTGTTTAGGTTGCTACTAAATTGAAGGGAGCACTATTTCTTTTTCTCTTTTATTAGCAAAAATTGCAAAAAGTTGTACATTCTAAGAAAAAGGAAAAAAAAAAGACAAGGGACCTAACAAAACTGAGCAGTGTTACTGTATTTTTTAAAAAATATTTTTATAGACTCATTTTCAGGTTATTAAATGTTAAAGAATATCCCTTTTTTTAAAGGTAGATATAATGATGATGTATTATCAACTTTTAGAAGTAATTTCCTAGTAAGCTTGTGGCATTAGAAAATACTAGAAGTTTTTTTTTTTTTTGTGAAATTAGTTGGAACCTTTATTAATGAACACAGTATTTTCCTAGCATAAGATACAGACCCTGACTATGTGTTTACTAAGAGATAAAATCAGATAAAAAGTTTTGTTTGTTTTTAAGACCATCAATGATGGACTTTGTTAGAGAGCAATAAAGTTTGAAATCTAGAGTAAGAATAATTTTTAAAAAGATTTCCTGATACCATTTTATAAACCCCTCTAGAATTCAAGGTAAGGTGCTACTTAGACTTTATTTCTTATTAGAAAATAACTACCAGGATTTCTACTCGATTTAGTTCTAAGTCAATAAGTAAATACCATTTCATCTAATAACCTTGCCATAGTAAAGGCATAATCAAAATTGAAATTGAAAAATTATTTCAGAAGTCTTGCTTTTAAAGTAATATTTTTCTGGAAAAACTACATTTTCTTGAAGTAAATACATTGTCAAAACCTTTTGCAATACTATTAATTGTTAGTGATTTATCATAGAATTTAAGATATGAAATGACATTTCTTTCACTGATATACACAATATATGAAAAGAATGTAAAACAGCAATAAATTGTTAGTGTACTGGGGGTGATGTGAACCCCAGAGTGGCCTTCAAGTCCTCTGGAGGAGGTTATTGGAGTGAGAGAAGTGTTGCTAATTAGAAGTTGTGTTCTCATTACATAATTAGAATGTCATTTTTGAAAGTTCAACTTTTATATAAATAAATTAAGTTTTTTAGAAAAAGGAAATTGTAGATTAATTGGGAAAATGGGCTATTGACAGAGACTATTTCCCTAATGCATTACATCACTTATATGCTAGTTCTTTAACTTTTAAAAAATTATTTCCACATTTTGTAATATGACATAAGTGTGTTTATTTTTAACTTAGAAGCTATGCATACAGAAAGTATGCAGCCAAATCAATCAGGTAAAACCATGTTACCTAGAGTTTGGTGCTGGTTTTGACTTGTCTGATTCTGTATAAGAAAAATAAATACAATTGAATTTCCACTTGGGGCTTTGTCTTTTCTTTATTTGATGCGTTCCTTTTACTGAGGTCTCTGGTGGTACTGAAGAGAAGCTATGTAACCCTCCTGACAGGCAGTGAAAGAAAGTTTAGTAGACAAATGTGTTTTGGGCTTAAATGTCTGGTCTTCAGTTTTTTAAGTATCCATAGAATTCTGGTTTTCACTTTATTTGAAGTAGCCCATTGAGATTTCTTGGGGGTGGGGAAGGGTTGTGTGTGTTTGTGGGCTTGTGTGCAAATGGGCACTAAACGTGTGTGTGTGTGTATATATATATATATATAAGATCATACTGTTTTTTTAATACCCTCACAGAAGATACCAGAGTCCTACGATTCAAGTCTTTCTAGTCTTATTAACAATATGGTCTGGCTTCTTTCTGTCAAAACTGAAAACAACCCGTCATCCCTTCTGAGTATAGGCTTGTGACTGTTTTCTCTGTCCATTGAGTATTTTGAATCTCACTGTCTGGATACCTTTGTCCATTACAGACAGATATGTTAGGTGAGAACAGAGGGGTGTTTTGAAGTAGAAGCATCGAGCTAAACAGCAGTAAAAAAAGATACTGGTGGCAGCAATTCACCAACATTCCAAAGTTTAAGTCTCATATATCTTCAAAAAATATCAAATTTAAGTAATATGTAATAAATTACAACACATAGAAAGGAAAAAAGTAAAAACTCTATCCCCAAGTCTTGGATTTTTAAAATTATATAAATTATATTTTTTTCCCTTAGGTTATATTCTATGCAAAGGAAAAGCAATTAAGCATGCTGTTTTGAGAAAAAAAATCCTTCTCCCCTTAATAGTAATGATATTACTAATACCCAGTGAGTATAAACTTTCTGCCAGTCACTATGCAAAAACACTGGATACATATTACCTTACTACATACTATACTACATATCTAGGAATATCTACATATTCCTGACACTATATTTCATTTTTATTGAGATAACATTGCTTTATAACACTATATATGATGCATACTCTTGAAATATATGTTACCACAGTGCACTTATCACCAAGTCACCCATATTCCTCCAGGATTCCTTGCACTTGATCTTAGAAGTACAACATCACTTAGCCCTATTTTTATTCCAATAGCATATGGCTTTGATTTCTATAACTTTGTAATGTAGTTTGAAATCTCAGAGTGATACCTCTGTTCTTCCTCCTTTTCTGTCAGGATTGCTTTGACTATTTGATATCTTTTGTAACTCCATATCAAGTTCAATAATGTTCTGTTTCTTTGAAGAATTCAATTGAAAACTTTACAGAAATTGCATTGATTCTGTATACTGCTTTTGTTATGATAGCCATTTTAACAATGTTAATTCTCCTAATCCATGAGTAGGAAATACTTATTTTTTGTGTGTATTTTCTATTTCTCTTCCAATCTGTTGTTTATGTGTAAGAATGCAACCAACTTTCGTAAATTAATTTTGCAGCCTATTTATTGTTTCTTATAATTTCTATTCTGTTGTCTTTAGGTTTTTCTTATATGTCATTGGCACATGCTGGTAATTTTACTTCTTTCTCATTTGAATTCTTTTTATATATTTCTTGCCTTATTGCTGAGACTTCTAATATTGTGTAAAGGAGAAGTGTTTAATGGGGAATTCTTGTCTTATATCTGATCTTAGAGAAAAACCTTTCAGTTTTTCACATTTCAGAATAATGTTAGCTGTGTGTTTATCATATGAGCCTTTATTTTGTTGAGGTTTGTTCCATCCCCATTATTTGGACACTTTATCACAAATGGGTATTGAATTTTCTCAAATGATTTCTCTGCCTCTATCGTTAGGATCATATGATTTTTTAATCTTTGCTGATGTGATGAATTACCTTGACTAATTTATGAATTATGAACCATTCTTGCTTCTCTGGAAAAAATCCTTCTGTCATGATTTATGGTCCTCTAATATATTGTGGAATTCAGTTTGCTAAGATTTTATTAAGTATTTTTGTTCTGTTCATCAGAGATATTGGCTTACTCTCTGTTACTTCCCTTCCTTCTGGTCCACATCATCCCACATTTCTCTCTACTAACCTCTTGATCCATGAAATGTTTATTATCTCTCTCCTGTGTCCTGGAGTCTATGTTGATCTCCAATGTTCAAAGAATGGAAAAGTTTTTCCTAAAGACATGGATCTCCCCAGATATAGCAGCCTTTTTTAAAAAAAAGATTTATTTATTTGTGCATACAGAACTGGGGTACAGGCCAAAGGTTCAGGGGCGGTGAGAGGATTCACCAGAGACAGAGTGGGGAGCAGAACAAGCAGATCGACAGGTACACTGCTGAGGGGAGCAGCAGGTGGGTCAGGAGAGGCCTGCCACGCCATGTGGGTCACCTCCAGGGCAGGTGGAGCTTGAACTCATGTGGAAGTAACTTTAGCTTCTTAGTGCTGTGCTGTGCTTTAACTCTCTGTGCCACCAGGGAGAGCTGATATAGCAGACCTTTAAATAACAGGTAGATCATCCTGTCAGGAATAAAGCAAGAAACTCTGATGTCATTTTGGTTTAACTTTCATAACCATAACCACTATTTACAAACTCTTCTTTGGGGCACTTTTTTTTTTTTTTAAACTATGATTAAATACTGTGTGGCCATCAAAACAATACTTCCATTGGGAACACTTATGAAAGATGTTGTAGGTTAACAAGATGTTATGTTAAAAGGATACTTAACTGTCTAGCAGAGATATGCCATGTATTAAAATGAATATGAAATCAGGATCAGACAAAATTATGACTCACTGGTGTGAGATGGGTCTATCAGTTCTGGCATTAACAAAAAAAATGTATTTATTTCAGAGATGGTCCAGAAAGTCTAGTACATTCAGAACCTTAGAAAAGAATTCTCTAAGAACTTTATTTGGAATGCCCCCACATTTACCAAAGCAAATTTTAATTCTCCATCATTTCTAAAGGCTTTTGAAAAAATCTCAGAAGTTTCAGATATTGTTCACAGTAAAATGCTCACACACATTTAACACTGAATTCCAGATGTCTCAAAGACTGATGAAAGTCATTCCGGAGGAGAAGCAAGATGGAAGTAGAGTGAGAACGCTGAGCTCGCTACCTCCAGGCTCACACAAGACAGATAAGCCTCCAAACGGATCACAGACACAGATATTACCAGCGTCAATCCAACTGAAGGCACTCTGGACTTGCTAGATCATGGATAATTGAGGGAGACTCAGCGATTGGGGAGCTCCGAGTAGGTAGCTCCAATCCAGGAGCACTACAACAGCTTGGAAGGGCCACAGCTGGGAGATTTACAACTCTTCCACCTGCTTCCCCCAACACTCCCACCCCACCCCCTCCAGAACCTGGGCATAGAGCCCAGGAGGTAAAGAGATAAGGCTTGGTCTTAAGGTGGCAAGCACAGCTGTGAGACTTGCAACTATTCTACCTGTTCTTCACTACCACCAGTACCACCAGTGTATAGAGCCCAGGAGGTAAAGAGAGACTGCTTGGCGGCTGGCTTGGCAGCTGCTTGTAGGGTAGGCGAAAGCTAGCTGATATGGAAGAAACCTGTGACACCGGAAGACTACAAAGATCAACAGGTGGGTAATTGGGAGCAGCAGTGCTGTTGTAGCAGGAGGCTGGCTGGCAGGGAGACTAGCTGGTGAGTTTTCCTTTTGGTGCTCCTCCCCCCCACCCCCGCAAAGACTTGTGTAAATAAGCCCAGTTCTGAAAACTTACTTGGGAGAAGTCTCTGGCACCACCTAGTGTTCAAAACAAAA